AACTGCACTCATTTTCTTGTGTCCCAGGATGCTGGATGCTGGCCAGCCCTGATCTAAAGGCACAGTGCTCGTGCTAATTTGGTAAGTCCTGCTGACAGCACAGCACAGGGGTAAAAAAGCAACAGGGCTTTCAGGTCAGGCCTTTGGTATATTCAGCTGCCTCTGGGCAGACAGAGCACAGGGCTGTGTGTGGAGACCCTGTATCTAACAGAGAAGATTTCCACAGCTTTTCCAGAAGCCCTAAAAATGGCAATGACTCCAATTTGGAAGAGAAGGGAAGGGGAAGCAAAGCCTCTGTTAGAAGGATCTAGTGGACAAGATATACAGACCTGGAGGGAAATAGGCTCTTCAGCTTAATTTTGGGGGAACAAAAACTAGCTGCTCTGCTCAAGGTCATTAGAGCCAAGCTCCAAGTCTGGATGTGCCACAGTCTAGCCCAGAGCCTGAACTATCTGCCTGCTTTTCTTTTCTATGCTTGGCCTTGCAGTCACTGCATGTCTAATAAGCCAAGCCACTTCAGAGATTTTATTCTCCTTAGAAATACTATAATAGTCCTTCTGCGTTTTTATCAGAGTCATTAGCATGAAAAAAAAAATTGCTAGGACAATATAGACTTCATCTACTAAAGTTGTTTCTCATATTCATTGCTGCCTGTGTGATTATTATCATGAAGCAAAGCAGATAAAGCACAAAAGGAAAGCCTGGATACTCTTAGAAACTCATTAGTGAGGGAAGTCCCAGTGCAAAACATAATGAAACCTTCATCCACCACCTCTGCAAAAGATGGGTGCTCATGCTTTGGGTTTTTTCCTCTGATTAATTGGTTTCCTGTGGAAAAATCATGGTAGTGATCACTTGATCCACTTGTTTCATGACACCTTTTTCATGCTTTCTGCTCTTCTTCAACAGGTGTGAATAGTGTTGGTCTAAGCCCTGAACAAACTATGGAAATTTCTGTCCCCTTCTGGGCAACAAAGGTGTTAGGAATATTCAAGAGTTATACAAAAGTCTAAGAATAGCTATCAGCAGTCAGGACAAAGGTGCAGTGAGCTCCTGCCCATCTGCCTCAGTTCTCCTCAGGAGAGACTTCTCAAACCTTCTGTCCTGTCACCAATTACATTTTGTAGAGCTCCACTGACATCCTGAAGCAGAGAATGTCTTTGTACTCACTAGAGGTTTACAGATGTCTCTCTCTAATTAACTCATATGCACTGTTTCAAACAACATTTTAACCTCCAGAACAGTCTGCAAAGAGGTGTTTCAATACCTGCTGGATGAAAAGCAACTTCATTTTGTTCATTTTAAACTTGCTATCAGGTAGCTTGGTTTGCCTTCCCTTCAGTTTTACAACAGAAGAAAGGGTGAAAAATAATTTCCCACTAATATCTCCATACCACTCAAAGTTTGACAGATTTTTGTCTTATTCCCCCAAAAGTCATCACATTTCCAAGCACCTTCCTGCCTGCAGAACCTTTTCACTGCTCTTGGCCTTTGGGATGCTGGAAGGGTGTCTCAATGCCACTGCATAATGCTCAGTCCTTTGCAAGACAAAGGCAGAAGTTTCTGAGAGCCTCCCCGTTACATTTTGCATGGAGGCATTAGAAGGGCTGGCTCCTGATGTGGATGGCTGTGCCCCAGGAATGCAGACCTCATGCTCTACAGAACCTCCCTTGTCAGACATGAATTCTCTGACTTTGATCGAGTTACTGAAACCCCCTTTTGCTGGAATGGTCCTCAGAAATGCTCTCCAGCTGCTGCTGCTGCTGCCCTCACTCCTCTCCTGCCCCTGCTCCTCTTGAATCAATAGGGATTTGAGATGTGAGTTATAACCCTTCCAGAATCAGCCCATCTGGTTTAGCAGATAGCCACTTGAATAACCTCCAGAATAAAGCTAAAGCATTCCCTTTCATGGTGATGAGGTTACAGAATTGCATATTTACCCACATATAATCATCAGTTCAACAACAGAAGCATTTGCAAAAGTGAATTAACACACAGTAAAGGGACACAGATTTATGAGCAGAAATATGACAGACTACATCTCATGTGAAAGGGATTAAGAACTCCAAGGGCTGAAAGATACCAGTCAATAATGGAAATTTAAGATCCAATACAGAGCAGAAATAGGTGAATCCCACCTCTCCAGGAAATCCACTTGAGAGTGGTTTACGAGGGCACCTGTAGATGCATTATGGTATTTTCTTTTTTTTAATATCTGTGCACAATAACTTGGCTGCATATGCATGTTTCTGTATCAAAAAAAGAAAAAAACAAAAAAACAAAAACCAAACATCCTCCATCATTCTGAGCTACTTAGGCCTGGCAGAACATGCCAGGCTGCTGCTTGAACCATGAGTTTCCTGGGCATAAAAGTTACACAAGTCCTCATGTCAACATGAATTAGGTTTTCAGCCACAGCTGCTATTATCTCGGGGTTTGCCACTAATGATGTGCTTGACATGTTATATATGCTAATACAAGCATCATTTTGGCTTTAACTTGGTGATATAACCAAGGTGATGACCTGCAGAAGGAAGGCCAGTACCTCTCCTGTCCTTCTGAAAAAGCACAGGATTTTCCCTCGGACAAATGCCTCAGACCTCACATAAATGCCATACAAACAGCACTTGGCAACAGCATGGTCTGACAGGTGTTTGGCACTGGCACAGCTGGAGAGCAAGACTGTAATAAGGGCGTGATTTTAATCTTGTCATCTTGGTCTTTGCAAAGGTGAGACCACTTTGTTCCACCAACATTTAGGATGTGAGCCTCATCCTTTTAAAGGATCCCACAGCACATGCATGGCAACAACCACACAGACTGCAGCTGTTAGCAAAGTCCAGCATCTCTGATCCAGCCTTCCAGCACTGGCTCATACCCACATAAATCAAGGAAACAAACCTGTCACAGCCAAAGTGAGAAAGAAACAAGAATTCCTGCTCGTGCAGCCATTGTGGAGCATCAGGCAAACAAAGGAAACACCTGAATCCTCTCCTTCCAGGTGTTCTCCTCTCTGGGAAGGTTTTCATTTCATAGCTTATTCTACTTTGATGGTAACTGGCATTGCAGGCACTTGCAGCCCTGCTCCCTGTGGTTCTGGCTATTTCTTGGGCACTGGAACAGACTGTGCAGGGACATGGTCAAGGCACCAAGCCTGTCAGAGCTCAAGAAGCATCTGGATTGTGCTCTTGTTACACAGTTTAGTTTAAGTAGTCCTGGATGGAGCAGGGAGTTGAATTAGATGATCCATATGGATTCCTTCCAACCTGAGATAGTCTATGATTTTATGATTCTATATCCTGAGGCTCTCTTTTTAATCGAGCCAGCAACATACAGCTGATAAATCTTTGCCCTGCGTCAGGAACAGCACTGACACTGAGCCCTGGGTGCACATGGGCCACAAACACCCTGGGTCCCATAAACCCTCCCTTAACAGATGAGAACAAGCTGCCTCAGCTGGCAGAGGTACCAAATAAACACAACAAGCTGACCATAAACTCAGCATCCTCCAAGCCTACACATTTCTTTGGGCACTCAATGCTGTTTGGCTACTCCAGCTGAAGAAACTCTGCACCTACTGTGACATCTCTCTACTTTTCCCCCTCCAGACCTGCAAACCTATTTGTCTATGCATGAAAATAATACAGATGGAATTATATTTTCTGACATTTTTCTGCAGAGTTTCAAAACATAAGAAAACAAGAACTTGTTTCAACTACAGCACAACTAGTACCATAAACATTGTGTTTCCCACCACACTGCTGGCTCTCACCACCTGACAAACACGAGCTGGTTTCCAAAGGCTGAATCCTGAGTCTCAAAGGCTAAATGGTGTCTGTCAGTGGGAGGACTGCAGGAAAATGAATGCAGAGATGTGGTTTTTATGGCCCCCATGTTTCTAGCCTGGCTCAATAAAATTTCCTGCCATGAGCAACTGGCATTTCGATTGTAATTTCACATGATGAATTACCACTATATACAATCAATATATCATAACCATAGAAAGAGCAAATGAGAAGCTGCAATGGGCATAAATGCCATGTTCTCTCTAGTGCAGTATTCGCTCTTTCCAATCACAATCCAATATTTGGAATTCTCTGAGCAATTGAGTAGCCACAGATTCCCTGAAAAACATCTCAACAGATTCTTAATCTCACTTTCAATACGAACCTTGATTTCTTTCTTAATATGTTCGTCTCCTATCCTGTCAATCTTTTTCCATTGTTCCTTGCAACTTGAAATTTCATTTTGATCATAAGGAAAACACCCTCAACCAGGTGTGACACAGAGCTACAGACAGAAAGAGCTAATTCTCTTCTGAAGTCTACGCATCCAGACTTTTTTTTTTGATGCAGAATAGAAAGTTTGTATCCAAAATTGCCTTGAAATCACCATCATTTTAAAATGCAAATTGATCCAGTCCTGCTACACGTTTCCCACTGCTGATCACCAATGAAAGAGTTTATCAAGATAGATAACACAGAAATTTTCAGTGGTTATTCCGTATCCTCAGTTTTACCCTCCAAGTCTTATTACTCTGTCCTGCCTAATATTTGAAGTAAAAAAATATTCAGCTTTTTCATTCAGTTTATTAATGAAAAGATCCAATTGGAAGAAAGACTATGACAGACTTCTCATAAGCCACATTTAATCCTGCTGAAAAATTCAATAAACTCAAAATTATGCTTTCTTTCTGTTTTTCATCCTTCCAGCCAATTTCTTTTGTGCATTATCCTCCACGAACTCACTGCTGCTTATACAAAGGGAAGATTATGATTTCAATTTGATCAGATTTTCCATGCTCAATGCACAAAGAAACTCAAAGAACACAAAGGGGAGAAAGCCATGAACACTCAAAAGCTTGTCTGCAGAAGGAGGCATAAAGGTTCCCTACAAAGATCCAACTGTGTCACATCTTTTGTATCCTATGCACTCCAAAAGCAACCTCTGAACTACAGCAGGCAACTCATTTGTTGGACCAGTGAAGGATTAGATCTTACCTTTTCTCCTTTCTCTCCTATGCCATAGGCTTTGCCCTAGAAATGAAGGAAAAAAAAAAAAAAAAGAGAGGGAAATGTAAATTTGAGAACAAGGGTATCAAACAACACTACAGATACATATTTCATAGTTTCCTTGTTATGCATCCAAGATCTATCTCTCTTTATATATAGAGATACAAGTCACTTCAAAACTACTATAGGGAAAGCAATTTTCTTTAGGCATAATAATTCAGTGACAAATTAAACTAAAAACTTATCCCAAATTCTCCTACTGCAGCCAGAAAAACATCTTATTTTTTATTCATGGAAGAGCATGATGTTACATTTCCAAAAGCAAAGTTGCCAACAACACTTACTGGAATGAATTTTGCATGGGGTTAAAGATTTTTTTGCCTAAAATCTCAGCCTGGCATTTGCATTAATTACAGCTGTGGGAGGCTGTATCCTGGTCATCTGAATGTAAAAAGTCAAGAGAGATTTGCATCTTCTTTGTGTTCAGTTGTCTCATATTGTCCCCCAGCAGACGTGCAGCTGTGGTAAGTGCATCCAAGCTACATATTTAATTAGAAGGTCAATATTAAGTCAGTTATCAGCTGTACCCAGGGATGAAACTTCCATCTGCCCCTCTCCAAGAGAGGCCAGTGAGTGCCAGAGGGATCAGGTTCCTCCTGGGATTCAGGTCCAGCAGAGGGAACAGCTTTGACCAGGGCACTCAACATTGTGAGCACCTTCTCACCATGAAGGAGAAAACAGCTCCTCACATTTTCACCTCCTTTAGCAAAATCATTGGGTATTTCTTACTTACTGACTCTCCTTTTTCTCCTCGGAGTCCAGGAAGCCCTGGGATGCCTCTTTCTCCCTTGAAACAGAAAATGTGTTAATATCACATAGTTAATTCATTCCTTTCTTAGAAATAGAAGGAAAGTGATGCAACAAGGGTTTGACTGAAATAATGGACACTTTTGGTTTCACCAGTCTCTACAGCCAAGATTTCAGCTCCTGCCCTAAAGCCTGGGTGTACCTAATTGCCTGTCTTGAAAACATTCTAGTTTTCAGATTGATTTTCTCTTTTATTTTTCGTATGAAAATACTGGTAGAAGCCTTTGGAGTGCACTGGCAGGGCAGAGAGTTTTCTCCTGGGAAGTACTTCAAATGCCCTTATTTTTTATTAAGAGAGGAAATATTTGCAAAGGTGCTTTGCAGAAAACCTCGAGGGTACATGCCAAAAATGTGCAAAAAATAACCTGAAAATATTGTTAAGATTTTAGAGCTGCTTTTTTTTTTTTTTGTAATCCAAACCCCTTGTTTTCAGTCACACTAAATTTTCAGAATCAGCTAACCTTTCTTTTCCCTCCCACAAGTGTGCAGCACACACAGTCATTATTCCTGCTTGTTTCAATGGGAGAGAGGGAAAGTAACATAGAAAAGAGACAATTGGAAAGATACAAGTTATGATGGTTGGAAAAGTTATAACTGGAGAAAGACATACATAGGGAGGAAAAGAGAAAAATGGTCAATCAAAAACCAAGCAAAACTTTCTCTTCACTTTTCTCCTAAAAAGGACAGGAGTAAAGGGGATAAAGAATCAAAGAAGATCCAAAATTTCATAAATATTTATCAGATACAGAACTTAAAATGGTGCCAGACCCAGCGAGTGCAGAAAAAATACTTGTAAATCATTTTCACACAATGCTCTGCAGTCTCAACTACAGGAAGGAGACCAGTGGAGGATACATCCACTACTTGGACTAGTTCAAGGCTGTGTGCTGTGCTGGCACCAGTTCCTTCAATCCCTCTAGCACTGGGAGCTGCTGGGGAGTAGAGGGCTCTGCCCACACACTCTGCCCAGGTTCTCACCCAAAATGTCCAAACCAGAAACGTGCTGTGCTGAGCACCCCATCTCTCACTTACAATTGCAATGTGCTCACCTATTTGTGCACTCTAACTTCAGTACAGACTTAAAATCAAGCTGGAAAAGTCTCAGGCATGGAGCAGGACCCTCCAGTACCAGAACATCCATAAGTCTGATGGCCCCTGCTCTCCCCAAATCTCCCCACATGGACGACAACAGCGTTTAATTTTGTATCTCTACCGAATTTATCCTGATCTATGCCCCCTCAAAAAAAAAGTGCTTAGCAGAACCAGGACTGAAAACACTTGCTAGGATCATATTTTCTTTTTCCCAGGTAAAGAAATGCTTTTGAAAGCACAGGAAATATGAAAGTTTCTTTCTTTAACCTTTCTGCTTTGTTTTTTGCTGAAAGAAAGAAAACTCACAGAACAATTACCATATGTACAAAAACTATGTCATGGTCAATTAAGAAGGCTGTGGTAAAATTCACAAAAATTTTTATGTGACCATCTCTTTTAAGTCACTTTCTAATTTGGAGGAAAATATACATTCTGCTAGAGCTTGTCTAATAAACTGGACTTCACAAACTTCACAATGGCAGGTAAGACTTGTAATTCCTTTGTGGATAAAAACACATCTCACAGAGCAAGGATTTTGTCTACACTTGGATCAATAGCAGTGCTGGAAGAGAGAAGCAGCCTGTTGATCATCAGCCCAGTGCCCCAACCAGCCATCCTGGCTGCCTGCAAACAACACAGCCTGCAGAGGAACTGTGGAAGGAAAATAAATCAGACTGGGCTGTCATTAGCATCTAAAATTTATCAATAGGACCCAGCCTCAGACATATTAGCCAGTTCTGCCACAGCTATTTCCTGCCTAGCTATTTCCCAATACAATTCTTTACCATATCTCATTCCAAAACACATCAGCTGTGTCTCCATGCATTACCCTCACTTTGGCAGTGTGGGTCATTGAGGCAGAGATGTTTATCTCCCAGAAATATTTTCCACTTTTTTTGATAACTGCAAGCTCTCCTGTTTCTCCCAGCCTTTGGAAGCTTAGAGAAGATCAAAATCACATTATTCTCATCTTTCTCTAATACCAGGTGGTAATGTTGGCAAGCTGCAAATAAGCACTGAACTTCTTGCCCAGGGCAGGATTTTAGCCCAGGTAGCTCAGTAATGTTGCAGGGAGAGAGGAGGAGAGCTAAAATTCATTCTTGAACATAGAGCAAGGACTGTGACAAGCTGGTCCTTGGCAATAGCCATGTAAGAACTGCTGTCAAGAGTGGCATTTGTTATTGAATCTCAACATCTTTGCAAGATGGGAGATAAACATAAAACTTGCCTTATTCAGCAGATAGAGAAGCTAAATAATTTGTCTCAAATCATAATATTTATAGTAAATTGTTAGATCCTATATTTAAATGGCATCATCCCCAGGTCCTTGAGACTGTGATACAGTCCTGCCTTGTCTGTGTACAGGTCCCAAACCACTACAGCCAGGGAAAAGTCACTCCCATCTGCAGGAGTGGGGCAGTCCTCTTGGGGTCTGTTCCAGAAAACCTCTGATGCTGTGCTTGTAGACACACCCCTCTGTATCCCACCAGTGTGTCCTGAACCCCAGTACTGACCCATGGGACACACTGAGGCACCCTCAGACCTTGGCAAAGCAGGGGAAGACAAAGGGATCTTCCTGCAGGGCCCTTTTATCATTATCACCATTGTCTTTTCTGCAACCTCCTCACAACAGTCATGGCTTTGCTGTTCCTTAAAATAGCCCATCACTATTTAAGCTGTCATGGATTAAAATAGAAAGCTCCTATATATGCATATACATGGAGGCATAAGGAAGCTTTGTCTGCACAGGCACATTTGAGCAGTAATGAGCCCATGTTCTTTCATTCCAGCCTCCAAAAGGCATATTCCTATCTCCAAAACTTCTCTCTGCAGACAGCAGACCAAGCTTTGCCAAAAGACAGCACATCTCTGAAGATGTTTGACCCTCCAAAACCCAGAGATTATTCCTTTCATAATAACTGAGTGACTTTTGATGGGATGCAACCCAGTTATTCACCCAACAGGTATAAATTCAGTGACTCCATTTGCAGAAGCAATTCAGATGGAAATAGTTTTGAATATAACTTTCCACCCAAACATCCTTTCACAGATAGTAAAACTGGGAACCACCAACACCACCAACTTTGACCTCTCCAGCCACGTTGTGACTCTCTCTTTTCTTCCTGTACAAGTGCTCCCTCTAAGTCTACTGTCTCATGGCTCTCTCTGTAACCAGGCACAGAAGGAAAATGTGTTTATGCTGAATGCACATATGTGTATATCAGAGAGGCCTGCAGAACAGGCAGGGTAATGCAAAGGCTGCACAGTGAAACTTGAAGCAGACATCACAACCACTCTCCTACCCTTTTATCCGGGAAGAAGAGTACTGAGGGAAGTGGCCTATATTTAACACCATGACTCAGGCAGTCTTGCTAAGGATAAAAGATTGAGACTGATCCTTTACCCCTAGTCTCAAGAAACTTTCTGAAGTGTGACTGGAAGGCTGCTACCTCAACTATGCATGTGTGTTACTGCTGAGAAAGGCACAGCATGGCAGCAGCACCTCTGTTTCCAGGTGACCTGCCATGGAAGCTGTGCATGACCTAGTTAATAACAGTAACTTGCAAAAATGACAGTTTAGAAGATGCAGGAAAGGATTTTGCAACACATTTACTCTAAGAATGACGTAAAGCAGCAAAAGAGAAGCCTAAATCCAAGCGTAAATTAAAGATAAAAGATCACAAAAAACTTCTGCAGTCCCAGGCTCATCCAAAACTGTCTGAACTTAATCATATACTAAATTGACTCTCATTTCTCACAATCTTCAAATCCTCAGTTTACTCTGAAATCGTTTCACTGTTGCTGTTTTTATTAACCAAATGAACTAGCACAGATTACTGACCTTTTGACCTTTGGGACCTTCAAAGCCAAGTGGACCCCTCTCCCCCTGAGACAAAAAAGACACAATTAATCAAACTTATTTTCTCATTTTATATTCAAGCATGGGGCTTGATCCTAGGAGGACAGGAGGACAACAAAAATATTTTCAGGTTTAAGCAGAGAAGATAATAAAGCTGAGATGCCCTCAGGAGCAATGACAATCAAGCTGGTTCCTCAGAGATCCTGGTCAGAGCCAGAGAAAGCAAGAACATTGCTTTTAAAAGCCATGAGATTTTTTTCAGTGTGGCCACATTTACCTTCATAATCTATTTTATTTGAAGAAGGATACACATAACTGAGCTGGATAAGAATAATCACTTTATTTCGGTGTTGTTACCAGGACTACCAGCATGACCAGAATCACTGAATTAGGTAAAGAGAAAGCACGGGGGAAACTTCCTCTACCTCTATAGATGTCCCAAATGAAACTCACTCCTCTCAGGACTCACCTTTTGTCCAGGAGGACAAGAGCAGTTGAAAATCTTGAGATGTCCAACTTGCTCACTGCCAACAGTGGGTCTCACTTCCAGGGGAGGTGCTTCTGTCAGGACCGTGACCTGGCACTGCACCCAGACACCCAAGGTCAGGACAAAGCCTTTAATGCTGCAAAGCTTCCCCTTCCACCCACGTTAGACAAATCCCACAGGCACCACTGTGTAACACACAGCCAAATGTGTCCTCTTGAGGAATGAAATCCCACAAAAGCCATTCATCCAAGCAATAGGGGAAAATGAGGCAAAATGAACAATGAACCTCTTTAACCAAGACTGAGGGGAGAAGAGTGATAGGAGGGTGGAAGTTTCTAGTGAGAGTTGGGCACAGGAAAATAAACTGCAACTGGCACTGTTTTTAGCTGTTTCCAAATAAAACCAGTGGGAAACATGTTGAATATTTCATGCTGCATTTCTGTTGTTCTATCATCACTTTGGGGTTTTGTTTCCCCTGACAGTTTGACAAGAAAAGAGGAACTTGGAAACTTCAAATTCCTCATACTCATCCCTCTGCAGTTGCCCTCCTCTGGAGCTGCTACACTGCCAATTACACAGTGAGGTTTCAATCACCCTTATTAAACAAAAATTATAATCCCACACTGCCACATATTCCCTGGTTTATGTAATAGATTTCAGTGAAGAGTGTTCATGTGAGAATGAATGAATGACAAAAAGGAGCTTACTGGTCCAGAGGGAATGTCGCAGCAGGTCTCCAGCTCAGCGTGCCGGGAGTCGCAGTAAATCACCATCCTCTGGAGATCAAACTGGGAGACAAAGGGAGGCAGCACTCTCAGACACAGTGAATTATTAAAGACCCTGTGTCCTTTTGCTCGGACACAAACAGGGCAGGCAAACACAAACAAAAACCAGATGGTGCAAACTTCAGAGTGGTTCTATGGATCCTGTAGTCAATTTCTATCTCTCCCCATCAATAATAGACCAATACCTCAGCATGCTACAGGAGCTGAGATAATAGGACCCTGAAAATGCCTATTCAAATTCTGGTCCAGGTTTTCATGCAAATCCCAATGTTCTGGCCAAACTTCTGTCTGAGAAGACATATCCTGGCCATGTCTATCCTTCCTAGAATTTCATCCAGACACAAAGTCTATTTTCCTCCTGTTGTGCCTTGCATCTTCTGACCATTTATTCCTGTGTGAGAAATGCTATGAGCACATTTGATATGCACGTTCCATCCATTTTGCACAGCCAAGAAAGATTATACAAGTCTGAAATACCAAACTATCACACATAAATTATACCAGGGTAACACTGCTGCTGGACAATCAGCCTGTGTGTCTTGACTTTGGTTCATTTGTACTAAGGGTCATTTAATATCTGAGGAATGGAGAATATATCACAAGTCTTTTCAGTTAACAAGTTTTCTTTTTTCCTCCATCTCTTTTTATCACCTGTGGAAACATTCGTAATGCCAAGATCACATGAAGACTTTTCTGTGTAGGTCAGTACCCAGTTTGATGATATTTGTGTTCAATTTTGTCTTTGCTTTTAACTGTAGCACATTCTGTGACTAGACAAAAATATGAAATAAATTTCTCATTTTTAATCCTTATTTTGGAGATATAGTATCACATAAGAATACAGTAATTCCTGTGCATCATAAGGTGCCAATCTGTCTTAGCTATGTAACACTGGTAACATTTCAGCAATGCTGCCTCAGGAAAAGGGTCAATTACAACATAACCCCCCTCATTCACAGGCTGCAAACCCAAAGCTGAACGTTCACCCAGCTCTAACCAGCATGTGCATGTAGTATATGGTAGAGATAATTCATGCTATAGAAGTAGATATATATGTGTATAAAATATTGGAAAGATCCAAAGGTATGTTTCTGACCACTCTGGCTGGGAACAGAGTTCTATTCTTATTTTAACCAGTTCCCAGACAGCAGTAAGATAATATCAGGTCTGTTGCTGTATGAATGGAATGGTCCCTGGCTGTTATGGGGAATTTCCTCTGGCTCTGACATTTGGGAGATAGCATCCGGACTTCCCTGGAATGGCAAGGAGCTCACAAGACATACACCTGGGCATTACTTCATCATGGTACTCAGAAACCAGTACATGTGAATGCATCTTCTGCCTGAACACTCAGACATTTGTCTGCATCTCTGAGCTCGCCTTTGTCTGTTTCTACATCTGTATGGATTCAATATATACATGAGAAGGAACACAAAGAAATATGTGGTCATCCCTGCCCCAGGCAGAATAAACTGTATATAAGCTGGCCACTGGAAGCACTCGGGGTGTACCTCTGGGGAAATGCTGTCTCTCTGTCAGCCGGAATCCGAGGTCACCCAGAGCTGTTCCCGGGACTGACGCTGTCCTGGCTGTGGTAATTTTTCCTTTTTTTCGAATTTTCTATTTTTGTTATTGATCTAATAAATCTTTGTTAAATTTTTCATAAATTTGGCTACCAATTTGATCATTTATAACACGCAGTACTTACATCAATGGGGACGCTGTCATACAAGCGTTTGCCAATCACAGTCTTTCCTTGAATGTCAATGTTCTCCCTGTCCTCAATGGGCAGCACCTGCACCAGCTTGCAGTCTATGTACAGGGAGACAGCCTTGGCCTGGATGCTGAGGGCGATTTTGTGCCAGCCGCGGTCGAAGAGGTCGCTGACGCGCGCGTTCCGGAACACCACCCTGACGGCGTCCCTGGTGAGCCCCACGGCGTTGTACTCCAGAGCCTTGTTCTCCCCATCCAGCCTGATCGACACCTGCAAGCAAACAGAGGGGGTCTGCTGAGCAGCAAAGCCTCCTCCTTCCTCCTGACTGCTTTCCATCAGCTCCCACAGCCCCAAGCCAGGGGTGGCACAGCTGCGGTGAGACAGCGAAGAGCAGAGGATGGAATTTTGTGGGGGGTATGGAAAGGGAGCCTACACTTGTGCTGGTAAATAAGATGGGGCTCCACAGGCTTCGGGGCAGACCCATGACTAAAGGAATGTTGACGAAGTGACAAAACTATCTTTTGTCCCCTTAAAAAGGAAATAAGCTTAGAAGTTTCTCTCCTCGATTAAGTGAAAAGGCATCTCATAAGACCCAGGGGGCTTCACTTCAAATTTAAGGATAGCTAATTGGACAAGAGCCAAAAAGTCCCACCTGGGCAATTTACTAGAAAAAGAAGAGAACAAAGAAACAAATTGCTTTTGTGAGGTGTTTTACCAGGGGTAGGAGGGCCTCTTGCACCTAAATCAGTTTTTCTCTGTAAAGAGTTTGTTATTTTGCCTTTTATTAAAATCTTTTTGTTTCCAACACTGCCACAAAAGCCATCCTTCTGATTTTATGCCTTCTAGGGTATCTGAGCTATCTTGGCTGTGAAATAGATCTCCAAGAGCTTATGAGACCTGGCTTGAAGAGTCTCCTATTTCAGGCACCAGCTAAAGCCTCCTCCTGTGAGTACAACCCTTGGCATGGTTTCAGCCCAGGCCACCTTGCTGCCATGGCTGGGTGGTGGTGCAGATCATGGGCACCTCCCCAAAGGCATCTCCCCAAAGCTGAACCTGGTTTGGATCCCTCTACCCCATGTTCTCCTCCACTGCTTCCAAGCAGGCTCTTTACTCCCATTACATGTCCTCAGTTGTCCCATGGGATATGGAAAAGTATCTCATATGAAACCAGTCTCCTGAGCTATGGCACTGCTCACACTTTTATTTCAGGTGCTTTGAACAGAAAAATACACCCCATGCTCTGTACTGCAAGCTACACAGCAGGCAAAAATAGGTTTTTGAAGTCATGCAACTTGGAGTTAATTTACAAATTGGTGTCTTCTTTTACCAAAGTCAGGCAGTTACCAGCAAGCAGCAGGGAGTGGAGCAGGCAGAGCCAGGAATCGTGTGCCCACGAACTGCAGGGCCACCTTGGCACTGAGCTGTGAGTGATGTGAGCAGCCCAGGGTAGGCTGACTCCACATCTGACCCAACTTCTCCATGCAGCTGAGCTCTGTGCTGGCTGGGAATGCCAGTTTGGATCAATGTTGGCCCAGGGGTGTCTGCATCTGTGAGTTGTGCAGGTCTGCAAGGAAGCGGCCAAACCACGACCAACTCCACATGAAACGGGGCTCATGGGGCTCTAAGGCACTTCTGGCACCATAATTTAAGGCACTTTTGAAATTATTACTGGAAATATTGAGTGTTTTTCTCTCTTCACACCTAAGCAGTTAAAGTTTTTAACTTCCTGCAAGAAATGCCAAGTGATAATTCTCACTCTGCAGCACCTAGGAATGTATGTGGCACAGTAAATCACATTTCATTTAATGAAGCTTCAGCTGATAATAACATTCATATACACATTTTACCACTGTCTCAAACTCAGTTATCTAATTCTTCAAACTGCACCTATTCTTCACTGATAGTTCCCAAAATCCTTTTAAACACCAGTCCCAAGGCAGCAATACTGAATTCCAGAGCTATGTGAGCCCATGCTGACAGCCCACTTTAGAGTCCTGGGTAATGCCATCACCACTATATTTGGTGCAGAGCAGAAAAATGTACAGCCCATCCAAATCACTCCCTCCTCAAGCACCCTCAAAAACCTAAACTCTACCAAGCTGCTAAAAACTTGTTGTGTAGGGACAGACAGCCCTTTAATACATGATTGTAATATTTTTTTCTGAGGACCTGAGAGTACTTGACAGAAAGTTATTAGATCAAATTGTGCAGCAGCCAGGACTCAGGGTTTTGGAACTATAACAGCTGTCACACTCACACCCAGAGCAGAAGCCCATAATGCATTTACAAGTCACCTAGAGGGCTGTGCAAAACCTGACATAACTCACTGCTCTGTAGTATATCCCTGTGACAACCTTTTTCCAAAAAGGCAAAATATTTTCCCTAAGCAGAACTATCTGAACAAAACAACTGAAAACTCAACAGTAGTTTCAAGAGCAAGGATGGTATTTTTTGTCCCCCTTTCCAACTAACACAGTTATCTGCATCCTAATAGCAACCAAGGCATATACAAGCATTTATTTGGGGTTTGAATGAAAGGTAAAATATTTGCAGCAAAATCCATTGAAAAAGTAACAGGATTTTTACCAGTTCACAAGAAAAAGGAGTGGGAGGTTAAGGCAAGAAAACTGGCTCATGGCAAAAAAAAAAAACAACAAAAAAGACTGTTCCTGCTGGCTGTAAAAAAGATTCTTACCTGTGGTATGCCATACTTGTCAATAATCTGCCAGATATACCAGTCTTCCTTCCTGGAAGCCTTCCGGAATTTGAAGGTAGTTACAAAGGCATATTCATCAGGCAGGCCTTGTGGAAATACATCCCTGGCATGGGGAGGGGAAAGAGAGCAATGTGTCAGGCTTAGCAGTGAAGAGCAGAACTTCTAAAACTATCTCCATGTCCCAGCAATGCTTTCTATAAGTATCATTGTAGTTCCTTAAAAACCTGCTTTATTTGGAAGCCTGAAGAGAGATGAACATGAGCTTGTGCCCTCCAGGTTCTGTCTTTATGGAGCCCTTTCATCATTCCAATAGTGAAGCTTTCAAATTGGCTAAAATATAATGGAAATCTGCAGTTGACTATCCATCATGTTAAAAAGGTTGTTTTTCACTTCATGCTTCTGTTCATGAAACCTGTAAATAATTCTGTTCTGTTCCAGATGCACTGGAGACCTGTGACTTCTGAGAATGGCCAGGAACACCCAAAACCCCTAAATGTACCAAATTATAGCAACAAACATTATAATGTCTGCCCAAAACAGGCACTACAGCTCATGTCTTTGTTCCTTAGCTGGCAGCCCCAGATAACAGAAGTTTCTCAAATCAAACATTGCAAACCTATCAGGCAGAGATTTACTCAGTGTGACACCACAACCCCTGAACATAAGCAAAAATCCAACACTGTTTTTCTCTACCCCATCATAAAACCTGTCATAACATGGGGATGCAGAAGGGATAACTAATCCAGTATCACCATTTTTTTATTACTAGCCATTACTGGATGCCTAAGAACAAGACTGAACACAAGAAAACACCTCTCTCATACCTCTGGATCTTTGGAATCCAGGTGTATAATTCAGAGACAAATGCAATTTCTATATCAATAGCTTTTTATGGATTTATCTCATATAGACTTCTGCATCCTCAGGAAAATTTATTCACAACATCCTTTTGACAAGGAATCACCCACTGCTGCCCATTGCATAATGAGCCTCCTCCTCTTTGTTCAGGACCTAACTCAGTTCTTATCAGGGAAAAGACAATGAACCTATTCTTTTTTTATCTTTTATGCCATCCATGATTTTTCTAACTTTGCTTGTAATGCCTCTAAGCCATCTCTTTTCCCACCTGAAGAGTCACAGTTAACATTGTTCTTCATGCCCAAGCCAGCCTGCTCCTATGATCATTCCCAAATAAACCTTCATAAATATCAGGACATCTGAGCAGTCAGGCATAAGCACTCAATACAAAACAAAACATAATGGCAGCAATTAATGAAGAACAAACTATGAAACGTGGTCCTAATGAATAGTTAACATAATCCATCACTATGCAAAAACTGGCACAGTCCAAGGCACATAAAACTAGAAGCCTTTAATTGTATTAAAAGCAAAAAGTCCTCTAAATTTCCAGAATACTGTTTTGCAGTTGCAGCAAATGTTGAGATCCAGTCTTTCCTAATGCCAAAACACTCGATCATATTTTATTCTGTGCTTTGAATCTCCCATCTTTTCAGCCAAGTTATAAATTCAGAACACTCTGGTTTCATCCACTAATGTGACTTTTGCTGTATAAAGTGCCCCTGCAGGATATGCACCAGTATAAGTTGGTTTTCCCTCTTGGGGAGACAAGAGACTCTGAATTCTTCCAATACAAAAGAAAACTGAACCGGGCTCCCACTAGCTCCCTTAAGAAATCCTTCCTTTAGGAAAGCAGACAAGGCTGTCTCACTTCTTGGTACTAGCTTTTTAACCAGGGAGGTCCCAGTTGCCTGGAAGTTAGCAAGTCTACAAGAAGGGCCAGAAGGAGCACCTTGAAGTGAACAGAAGTAGGATCTGGAAGGAGGGTTGCCTTAAACTAGATATTAGGAAAAAATTCTTTACTGTAAAGCTGGTCAAGCACTGGAACCATCTACTCAGGGAATTGGTGGATTTGCCATCCCTGGAAATGTTCATAGAAAAGTGTGGATGTGGCATTTGGGGACATGGTTTAGTGGTGAACATGGAAGTATAGCATAACAGTTGGACTAAGTGATCTTATAGGGCTTTTCCAGACTTAACAATTTTATGGTTCTGGACAGCTCTGAGCTGGGAACAGGAATATCATTATGCATGCTTAATTTCCAAAAGGGTTTTCAGATGTTTAATACCCAGAGAAATAACTTGGAATTAGGTACCTAAACATCCCAGTGAGTCTGGCCATACCTCATCACACAGGGCTGACAAACAGCCCATCAGGTAGATTTAAACTGACAGAAAGCCATAATGACCCATTACCTGCCATCCTCAACTGATTTTTAAAGCTGCCGAGGAACCAGCTGCAAGTTCCCAACAGAGAAAGCTTTCATGCCAAAAGCAAATCTTAAGACACTCTCATTGCTTTGAAAATGTGATAAAAGCTGTTTCTGAAGTCATTGGTCCCTCTATCTTTTACAGAGCTGCATTGTTACATAAATAACAAAAAGCTTTGTTTAGCAAGTTTTAACTTATTTCCTCACTTGAAAATGATCTGCATCTAGAAGTTCAGCTTTACTTGGGGATCCAAGAGCAGGAGCATTCTGCTGTCCCCAGAAATGTTTTATGTTCTTCTTTCACACAAGGCTGAATTGAGCTGATGATCGATATTGTGGTACTTTGCTGGATGCCTGGTACCTACCGGGAGCATTCTGCCAGCTCCTTGGTCTACAATTCTGACAACAGGATAGATTGCAAAAAAGGCCCTTATAAAGCTCCAAGACAAAAGAATCCCCCAGTGCTGCAGGTTAGTCCAAGAGTCAATTAACTCAACTACAAGGTCAGGCGAATCACAACTTTTACAAGAAAAAAAAAATCAGTAAGAAGGCAGAAATTTTTTTTAACCATTGCTGGTTTTTTCAATATATAGCAACCTTCCCACATGCTTTAATTTGCAATAAGAGCTTTCATCTGTGACAATAAGCATGAGATCCTACATCTAGAATAACACTATGGAAAAATTATATTATCAGTTCTCATTTCGGACAGTCAATGCAACAACATTTAATAAGGTTTTTGCATTTGGTGAGGAAGAGTGTAGTTAATGTACTTGAGCAATTTGACCAATTTTACAACAGCTAAGCCCGTTAACATGAAATGTAACCCATAAGATCGGCAAAACCAAGTTGGAGAAAGCCAGTTCATTTAAACATGCTTCACATCACCAGAGGCTCTTAGTATGACAGGAAGAAAAAAAAAACAAGAAAAAAGAGAAGGAAAAGGAAAAGGAAAAGGAAAAGGAAAAGGAAAAGGAAAAGGAAAAGGAAAAGGAAAAGGGAATGGGAAAGGAGAAGGCTATAGAAGGATGTGTCTCATACATCCTTGGCAGACATCTTTTTGACTTCTACTTAGAAATCTCAGTGATGGAATAGATACATCCTCTCTAGGTAATTTCTTCCTGTCTTTCTCTGTCCTACATGCTGTAAAGAAAAAGGAATCTGTCCTAAATCTTACTTGCTGTCGTTTAATTTTCCCAAAACAACTTTTTCCCATAAGAAGCCATGTGAACAACTTGTTCTCCTCTGCATGCTGCAGTATTTTCTGTTTCTTAGCTCTCCCTACAGTCCTTTACTCACTACAGGACCAAAAAAGCCTTCAGTCATTCCACCTCCACCATGCTTTATCTCCTTTACCCTGTTAGAAACAGGAGACAGTGAGAGACCTCTTGAGATATCTCATCTAAAGAAGGTTTTTCTTGTGTTTAGATTTCATTGATTGAAATTGTTCCCATTCCTTCTTGTCCTGTCAATGAATATGACTAAGAAGATTCTGGCTGTGTCTCCTTTGCTTCCTCCCCATCAGATATTTATACACATGGGGATCCCCCCTCACTGAGTCTTCCCTTCTCTAAGCTGAACAAGGTTTTTTGTCTCTGCTCTTTTTAATATGCAATATTCGTTTGGGAAAAGTAAGAAAAAATGAAGCTTTTCAACAGGTTCCATGTTCAGTATGGGAGTTTTTGGTGGCTTTTTGTACAATTTCTTCTCTTGAAAGGGGACAAATGGTGAGACCAGGGCAGGAGCTCATGGAGAAACCTAAGGTAGCTGACTGAAGTCAAAGCTGACATCAGGAGACACAGAAAAACACACCAAGGTATCATGCCCTAAACAACATAAGACTCTGCATATATTGGTACAACATTGTGCCAATATAAAGAGCAAATAGATCATGACCAGAAGCTTGGCCAAGCATTAGGTAATTGTGTGAGGTGGTGATCAAGTCAGGCAGAACCAGACCAGACAAGAGAAACCTGAGGATGGACATGGCCAGCAGGAAAGCCCTGGAGTCACAGCTAGGAGATGCAGATCAAAAGGGTGAGCCAAAATCTTGGCATTAGGCAAGACACCAGTAATGAGAAACAAGTCTGAGCATCCAAAAGCAGAAGTCTGCAGCACAGTTTTGGCCAGAACATCCACTGAGAAGCCATGAACAAGTAGTAGGACAGCCTCAGTTACATGAGGAGTGGGAAAAAACACCAGCCAGATTCTGGGGCCAGTCTTCAGACAGCTACAGAGCCCTGTGAGGCCCTCAGTGATCAGGTCCTTGACTGAAGCCAAGCTCTGTCTGCTGGGTTTGTTTGCTCACAGATGATGCCTCACCACAAAGAGGAAGTAAGTTCATAGTTGTAGGTTACAGATCAGAAGATGAGTAGGCACATTTCCCAGACAGCTAATCTGGCACTTTGTAAAAGTACTATTGCTTGTATAAAAGAATACAAATCCTTTAAGCAGATAATAAAGTGAATTACATATATTACTCAGTCAATGATTTTGTATCTAATTATGAGATGTTGCTATCAGTTGCTAAACATTGCTGGAGGTTATCTGTGAGCCACGACAGATGTTTTTGTTTGGTTTATTATTCCAGTTATCGGTTTTGAGCAGCTTTACAAGATTTCATTTTCTGTGAGCAATGACCCCATATGCAGCATCTCAGAGTCCTGGCATACAAATGCTGAAATGAACCAAATATGCAAACACCTTCCATGGTGTTATACCCATTTGGGTTCATTCCCAAACCACAGGAGTGTGAAAGTTACAATACATAAGGCTGAAAATGTGAAAATCCTCCTCAAGTTCCATGTTTCAGAATAATTCAAAAGGAATTTTATTCACTTCTATCTACAAATTAGGGATGTTTTACTTCTAATTGTCCTGGGTGATAAAATATTCTGCTTATTTTAAGGGCAAAAGCAAAAACAAATAAATGGGTGCAATCTGAGCAGATGGAAAGCCGTCATAGCTGGTTGGTCTGGCTTCACTCCCTCAGTCTTTCTGAGAAAACAACAACAGAAACAGCAAACACCAAAAAAGTTCTTCAACCCTTACTTTGAAAAGGAATTCAAATGGACAACTCTCTGTAATCTGTGCTTTCTGCAGTGGTTAATTAGATTCATCCTTAAAAGCATGCCCTTCTTCCCTGCTGGTTTTTGATGCCAAGTAGCCACTGCCTTTCAGCCTACCATGACCCTTTACCAAGCTTTGATTTCCCAGAGGTTCCTACAGAGAACGATCCCTTCAGTTGTTGGCTGCTTCTTAATTTTACCTGTCTACACTGCAGTTCTTGGATTTCTCACCAATACACTTGCTTCACAGATCTTCAAACTGTCATTCACTCCATTTCTACCTGTAGCATTGTGTGTTTTATATGGGTTTATTGTAAAGTTGGTTATTTTTTATAAGTTAAGAATTTGGTTTGACCCTCGGTTCCCCCCATGTTCTCCCTCATAATGGTTCATTCCTTCCACCAGTTACCTGTCCCTCATTGTAACCAACCCCCTTTCATTTCTAGAAATTTCTACGTCAATCTTCCCTTACCTAACATATGATTTGTCCCCTGAGCCTTTTCCCTGCCCTGGGCCATTCCTATTGGTTCAGTTGTGTCCCTCGCTCCTCCCCTGGGCTTCGTTCATTGGTCCCTCGTGTCTCCTTCCATTGCACCCTTCCCCTTTATCAGTGCCTCCCTAATGGTTTTTCCCTGACGCCGTTACTGGCCCTGCCTGGGTCAATAAAGCGCCTTGGCATCCACACGCGTGTCCACTCCTTCCTTCCTTTGCTGTCCTGCTCTCGCCTGCGTCACCACGCTGCAGACAGAGCCACTACCCAGGGGTTCTCACAGAGGACCTGGGAATGGTGGGATTTGTAGTCTCCACCGGTCACTCCGGGAGCGGCTAGCCAGCCCCGTCAGCTCCAGTGGCCGCGGGACCAGACTGCATCTACCAACTGAATTATGGAAAATAAGGCTGGACACAACAGCAGTGGAGACTGAGCTGTGTGATATGAAGATTATCAGCCATACTTGACAGTTCCTGTTTATACTCCAAGAATTGCTCAATTTTTCATAGTATCACCCAGAACCCAGAGATCACAGTGAGACAAATGAAATAGGTTTCTTACCATCCAGGTGAAATAGGTTTATGGTTTATTTCCATCCACACTCAGACCAGTTATATAAATACCCCAAACCTAAGATGTCTTTAGCTGGCTGCGTTGAATCAGATCACTGATCATGCCTCTACCCTTAGACTTGATACCATTTATGGACTCTAGAGAAAACAGTTTTCCTCTCAGTAAATAATTTTTTTTTTTAAATTGTATTAACATGGAGAAAGAAGGGGAGGGAAAAAGAGCACATCAATCCTTTTGGTTCCAGGATGAAAAAAAAAATTGTGAAATCAAGCAAATGTAATTCATAGGACAATCTCAAAAATGCAGTGAGCTGAGAAAAAGAGCTAAAAACAGAATAAAAAATACCAGCCCTCATCCATACGAAAGAAAAGAAGTATTATTGATTTTTTAAGCTGAAGTTCAAACCAGCACTGAGAAATTTACTGCAAAAATGTTAATGATGACAATTCAATCCATGGCTCATAGTTACACAGTAAAATTATGCACTCACTCTTTTCAAGGCTAATGCTAGCAGGGCTCAAGTGACAACCCAAAGAACCATTTGGGATAAATTGTGACACAACTGGCAGCCTTAGGTCCTAAAAGCACTCCGAGGACTGACTCCGTATTGACACAGGATTAAAAACTACTCATTCTTCTACAAGGCCAGAATCCATATTTGCTAACTGGTCACAGCATCTAGCAGCAAGTGGTCTCTTGTGTTTAGCACATTTCTATCTCAATGGGAGTGAAATATTCAAAATTCCCTTCAGAAGCTATTTAGGTAGCCCTAAGTTCTTTGGTGAATGTCTTGATACTGCTCCTCAGAATCACTGAGCTACACCAAACACAACTCATGTTCTGCCAGGATGGAGCCTGGCAGAAGACTCCTGACCACGCTGAGACTCCTGACCACGCTGTGCATATTCTGTGCGAGCTGAACTGAAACAGCTGCTCAAAGCAGAAATATACCTGTAGGTACCAGATAACTACTACTAAGTTAACCTAGAGAAACCAAATAATGTAAGGCAGAGGTTCAGATGGAAATAAAGTAAAAACTCAGAGTACTCACTCAGTTTTCTGAACAACAGGAAAGCTTCCAAGCCGTACATAAGCACTCTGAATCCCATCTTCTTTCATTCCAAAAATCTGCTTCACACTGAATGAATCCATCAGGTCAAATCCTATGTGTTACAGAAATAGAAATAAAAGACATTAACCAATCCTATGTGTTACAGAAATAGAAATTAAAGACATTAATCAGGTAGTGGGACATGCCTCCAGTTGTACTTACATGGATCTCTTAGCCTACAAACAGCACTTCAGAAATGAGCCTTGTTCTTGTTGGGAAAAGCCAAACAAAATTCTGATATGATCTAATCCTCTCAACCCAAAAACTCAAAACCAAGCTTAAATTCAATCTGTCACAAGCTTGAACAGAGTTTTCCAGAAATAAGTAGCTAATTTTTGCATTGCCACAACATCCTGAAGATGCTGCATAATTCATTAACTCCCATGCAGAAAAATGCAGAGGTGCAGACTGAAACATTTATTCATAGAATAAGAGAAAACACAGAATGTTTTGGGTGGGAAGGGACCTTCAAAGATCATCTTGTTCCAACCCATCTGCTATGGGCAGGTGTGGGAGCTTGTCCTGGAGAGGATGGGCCGAGAGCTGACCACACTGCAGACAGTCAGTGTTCGATGTCCCAGTGCCAACACCAACTCTTGGGAGAAGTCACAATGGATAACATCATGAAGAACAAAGGATTCTGGGACTGACTGGGAGTGGCCATGCAGATCAACAGCCTGTGACAGGCCAGAAGGCTTCCAGAACATTCTATGAGACTCTATATATTTGTCAACCCCACTTCGGGGTCTTCTGAAGCAGAATGTTTCAGAACATTCTGAAATCTTACATTTTGTTTTGCACCCTCGTTTGTGCCCCTTTTATTGATTTATTTAATAAATATCTTCAGTTTTGGCACTTCAATGGCACCTGTCTCTCCTCTGTTGCTGCACCAGGCACCCACACCACCGTGGTGCTCCCGAGACCGGAGCGTTTCCCTGCACACCCCGTGGATCCCCAGGGGTGCTGTTCTGACCCATCCCTGGCTGCTCCACTGCTGGCCAGGTCAGAGATCACCAACAGGCAGGGACACCTTCCCCTAGATCAGGTTTCTGAAAGCTCCATCCAGCCTGGTGTTGAACACTTCCAGGAATGGGGCATCCACAGCTTCTCTGGGCAACTTGGCCTAGTGTCTCCCCACCCTCATTGTAAAAATTTAATTCTTTATCTCCAATCTAAATCTACCCTCTTTAAGTTTTAAAATGTTGCCCCTTGTCCCATCACTATGGACCTTGATAAAAGGTCTCTTTCTTTCTTGCAAGACCTTTTCATATATTGAAAGGCCATGGGAAAGTTCCCCTGGAGCCTTCGCTTCTTCAGGCTGAACATCCCCAACTTTCTCCGGTTTTTTTCACAGCAGAGGTGTTCCAGCCCTCTCATCTTTTTCATGGACCTCCACTGTGTATCTACTCCAATGGTCCAGGTCCTAATTAAAAACTCCTTGTCCAAGAAACTTGACCACAAATGTTTTTCATATAATTTTAGTACAACTTAGTCCAATCAAATTATCATTATCATGAGCTATTAATCTTGGTGGAAGACAGTTACCTAAAGCTTATGATTTTGTTCTAACAAGGTATTTTTAGCTCAATCTTAAGCTAAAGATTTAGCTTAATCTTAAGCTTAAAGCTTAACCCAAAAGTGAGTTTATGCAGCTCCAGCATCAACATGGTCCCAGGCACAAGGAACACGATTTTTTCACATGAACTCCCAGGTGCTAAACCCTGAGAGGGACAGTGGGGGTACAATGGTGCCGCAAATGCATCCAGCTCCTGGAGATGCAGAACTGTGTGGATGCAAACATCCTGCTTTTAGCTCCAAACTGGCTCCACAGGGTGCAAATCCAAACTATCAGCCACTCCCAGTACCAAACACACTATGGAGTTAGAGGCAAAGGTGCTGTAAAAGGCAGGTTATGAGCAACTGAGCAGAGAATATATGTTTTAATTTTATTCAGGCTATTCCAACATTATCTCCCCCTCACACATGCACAATTACACACATTAACTCCTGGTTTTGTAATTCCAGCACACAAACCTGGTGACATAAGTGTAGCTTATTTGGATAAATTGCTTTTAAACTATGGCAGTTCTTTCAACTTTGTTCAGTTAGCGAGCTCTTGAAACTTTTCTAGGATAGATAAACATTTTTATGTGATGAAATTGGGCCTGAAGATTCTTGGGTTTCTTAGTTATCCTCCTCAACCTTTCTGGCTGAAAAGCACTGCAGAGCTTGAAAACAGCTTCAACAGGAAAAGGCACCAACCTAATGATATTTTTCTTCCTAATGATATTATCTTACTATTCTTATTATTCACATTTATATGAATAAATAGGTGCAAAAACCTGTCTGGGCCAGTACCTAGGCAAATCAAAGTAGCAAAAAGCAAATAAAATATAAAGCTTCCATCATTTTCTGTATGTTTTTCTGAAGAAATTGCTTCTTCTGAGGACATATAATCTTAATTGTTTGAAACCAGAAATGGCTGTCTGGTGCCAAGTTGAGCCCTTTAGTATTACAGTAACTTTCCTTGCTGTCAACAGCTTTTCCTTTTTGTCCACTCTATTTTCAGCTATTACTGGGCATTTGGGAGGGCAAATAAAGCAGTTAAAGTGCTCCAGGGCCTCATGGCTGCACCTCATAATCACCTCTGCAGCAGCTCCAGTGATACACCCCTCTGATAGACTGCAATCAGCCAGGATTGCAGCTGTAAATCAGGGAAAACAGGCCCCACCAGAACATGAGAGCTCCCTCCTGGCTGTCACAAACCACACCATGACTTGTCCACACACTCATTCCCCCACTCAGTACATATCCCTCACCCACACTGCCACAGGAGCTGAGGGAAGTAATTGAGAGCTGCTGGCAGGGGGAGACCACTCTGACTGGGCGAGGAAATTGTTAACCATTCACAGGAGAGGAGCTGCGGATGGAGAAGGCTGAAATGCTGCCAGGTGACATCCTAATGTCCACTCACCAGAGGCCCCAAGCTGTGAAATCCTGCTCTTTTCACAGGTCTTGTAAAGCTCCCTTGCTAAAAGTGCACAAGTGCAAGATACAGTGACAAGAAGCTCCTGCCAAGTTTTCCCATCATTAGCTCAGAGCCAAAGCTGCTCTTGATCTCTCTGACAACTCAATGAACATTCACATCATGAGCAGCTCTGAAGCTGTGCACACTGGTATGCTTTTCCAGTGGAAACAAGCATCAGATTCACTCAATCTCTTCCTCTATTTTTCCTGAATTTCCTATCAAAATCCACTTTTAAAAGCCCAAATAACACCATGAAACATAAACCCGGCTATCAAAACTACTTTGCAAACAGAATTTGGTGTAATGAAAATAAGTCATGCTCTTACAACATAATTCCATTTACATTTGGGATTGGATAAAGCATGAAAGTAAATCATAATAATTTTTTTTTCTTTTATTCAGACTATGGATTGGCAAATTAAAAATTGATTTCTCTATTTTTAATTAATTGATGAACGAGGATGGCTCTTTGAAAAATTAAATGTAGATCCAGGGAAAAGTTAAGTCCTTAGGTGTGTCAGAGGCCACACTCAAAAGCAAAGGGTTTTTTACTTTAATCACACTATTAATTTATTCTGTGCCAAATTTAAATATTGGCCAGCTGGTGAGATAACCTCCACTCTTGGATACTCTATTTACAACCAAAGCCCTTAAAGGTAAGGGACACTTTGGTTGCTGAAAGATTTCAATAGAATTACAGAAAATTTGTCATCAGGCCATACACTAAAAAATTAAGAACTCTGCCAAGAATGAGATGTATCTCAACTAATTTTAGCTGTCTGAAAAGGAGACATATGATGGATGGAGGTTTCCTCAGTTTCCTTGTGAGTCAGCAGAGAAATTTAAAAGTAATTAAGACAACTCATCTTGAAGACAGGCTGAATCCCCACCTGAAGTGCCTCCATTTTTCAGCAAAAAGGGAGCTCAGACAGGATTTTTTACTGAAGTTGTCTCACATGCATTCTGCTTACAGGGAATGATAACCACTTTGTACAGGGAGTAAAGCAGAGGTAAAGAGGACAGAAACTTTAACAAATCCCACACAACTTATATTCACATTGCTTTATTTGCCATCAGAATTGCATAAAGGTTGCAGATTTTTAAATTCAGCTTGATTAACCAAATATGATTTTCAAAATCTCTTCTGAAAAACAAAGAAAGAAGCAAACCTAAAATATTATTATTTGAGCTGAGAAAGTACTCAAAGCAGATTACCCAAGTGGAACATACAAAGAAACACACACACACCTTGGCAAACCTCCAAATGAATTTATGAATTAAGAGAACCTCTAAGATTGTTTCAGCTGAAGGACAAGCAAATATATTATTATCATCACTATTACAGCTACTAGCAGTATTACTACTGTTAGTACTAATATTACTACAATTATTACTGCCATTTTGTTTACTTTGTGTGCCTGGAAGCCCTTTGCATGGATTATGTTCCCTGGACTTTAGGAAAGGAATTGGGATTGTGAGGGAGACAGTATGGAAGTTTTAATTTTGATTTTTTTAGCCTTGAATTACAATATTAATGTAAAAAGTAAGCAATGCTGTGATCATTTCTGCAACACCTGACTAGGACATTTCACCTGGCAGTGTTTGCTCACTAACAGTGCAGTGAAAGTTGCTCAGTGAGATTTTTCCCCAAAGAGTTAAATGTGTCACACAGCATTTCTGTGCTGGAGTTACAGCAGAAATTGTCTGTTCTTTGGTTTTCCCACCAGCAAGGAGGCACCACATTGTCAGTAGCATATGGAAAATGAAATGCCACATGTAACTTCCCAGTTCTCTCTGCAAGTGGATGGGAAAGAACAGACCTGCCTAAATTAGCAAGTGCAAAGTTGCTGTTACCTCTTGCACACGCCCAAGCACAGGGTGGAAGGGTAGGATTTTCCTGTTCTCAGCTGCTTTGATTTAAAAGGTGCTTTTTGTATAGCAGGGCAGGTGTGGTTTCCCAAATGGCTCATAAACTGCTTAATCAGTAATGCCATAAACATGGCATTTAATAAATGCTCTTTGAT